AAAAAAACAAAACTGAAATTTATTAGATAATTATTAATTAAAAAATGTGACCACAAATTAAAAAATTAAAATGGATAAATTTGTCAATAAAATTAAAAAATTCTAATCCCCTAGCGGTTTGGTACAAAAAGTTACATAAACTAGTTTTTTCAATTTGCTAGCGATTTGGACCCTAACCGCTATATGCTAGTTTCAAACCGCTAAATAAAAGTTTTACCAAACACTTTAATTGTAGCGGTTTCGAAATATATAAATTTACCAAAAACCTATATTTAACGGTTTAGGTAAAATCGTTAACCGTTACTTCAAAACCGCTATACCGAACGGGGTCTTAATTTCTTAACTTTAAAAAAAATTCCAGATTATATACTTGAATTCTCCCATCTTTAATTTTTATTTTCAACTAAATTACAAAATAAAGACAAAACTCAATTATTTTTACAAACCTTTCCTAGTTTAAATGGGTGCTTGTGGAATCGAAGTTTTCGCAAGAATAAGAATGCTCTTTTCTTCTAGTGCCTATATAATGGATCTCTCTTCTATTCGCAAACACAACAAACATTCAACATTTTGAGAACCCTTTCTTTTTTTTTTATAGCGTTTTAAGAGCCCTTGGTGTAAGACAAAATGGCGATTATCAAGGATGAAGATAATGAAAAGACCACCTTATACACAAAGAAAGAGATAGAAGAGTCACCACAAGAGGTGATTGAATTCGATTCACAATGGCAACAGCTACCAAGTGATCGCCAGAGGAGTCCACCTTCCCCACCTCCTAATTGTTGTCAAGTAGATTCACAAACATTTGTTGCAATTGCTGGTTATCAAGGACAATCAACTCCTGTCTCAAGACACTAATGGCAGCATGCTTGTCAATCCAGCTCTAGCTCTGTGCCACAAGGTGACTATCAATGGCAACATGGTCAAAAGAGTTCACAGCCACTACTCGAACCACAATGGCTTTACGGTCAGAGAAGCTTTGAACTAATGCCTAACCAATGGTATCATCACTACCACCCTGTTGGTAGTTCAAATGGGTCCTCTTCATATGGGATTGCACAAAGGGTAATTTAATTTGAAGGCCTTAAATTTCTTCTACATTGTTTAGTTATTAAGAAGTTTAAGTACTTTTGAAATTTAGAGGCTTTACAAAAGTACCAATTGTATAGATCTAACTCCTATTTGAAGAAATTCTAACTCTTTATGCCTTTTTTTTTCTTACTTTTTTTTAGGACCCTTACATTGTCTTTTGCGAGGTATTTTCTCTTTAATCCAAATATTTCAACGCAAGGAAAAATTTTTAACAATTTTATTCATTAGAAAAATAATAGGGGTAATAGAATCAGTTTAATGATAAAAAAATGAAAGGAAAAAACAAAATCAAAAGAACTCAAAGGAAAGTGGAAAAGGCATAAGAACAAAAAAAATGACATAAACCCAATTACAAACTCTTTCCATCTCTTTTTTTTTTTTTTTTTTGTGATTTTAATAATTAGTATACGTTTTTTTATGGCATTTACACTTAAACTGTTCTTGTAGCCGCAATTAGAACAAGGTCATAACATTTTTGAAGGAGCACAACAAGGTGTCAATCCTACACATTTTGCAAGTACAAAAAATACGCTGTTTGGAAATGATCAGGTAGTGATATATCTTCTTTCTTTGAAATTCAAGCTAAATTTCTAGCATTTTACTATAAATCATAATTTATTGTTGACTACTGACCGTTGAGCATTAGTCATTTAACATGTATATCGTATTTTACCTTATTAATTTTTTTTTCTATATTTATTAATAATTAATTGTTATTTGTTATTACTGTTAATCTTTTATTTTAATTATCAACCCATGTGATTTTGTTACTACTTCCTTTCAATTTTACTTAATTTAATTTAATTTAATTTTTTGACTTTTTAGACCTTAATTTAAAGAAAATTTTGAGATAGTTTATTCATTTGATCTTTTTAAAAAATCTCATCAACAATGATTGATGAGAATATTTTTTTTATTTGCAAATAGTTCTAAATTATTTTGTTTGTCAACAAATTAAATTAGCAGGAATAAAAAATTTATAAATTAATGATTTTGATTTTTATCGATAAGAAAATATTGAATTTGGAATTTTTAAGTCACAATTTAGTCACAATTTCAAAAATATAATACAAAATAATGCCTTTTCCCTCTAAACTAACCCTTCATTGCGTCACAATGCAGCTGGAAAAAAAAAAAAAAAAATCTTTACTTGATGGTTTCAATCTTGTTTGAATAGGAGCACATGAGATTCACTGGGCTAGGAAACATGGTTGCTACTCCAAGGCCAAATAATGCAACCACAACAAACATGCCTGTGAATCCTGGTCCTTTACCATCAAGCTCTACAACTTCTGATATGCCCAGCAGTTCAAGATCAAAACGAATGATGCGAGAGATGCCAGCGCCTAGTCCATCCAAATCAAAACAAAGGACATCAGAAATGTTGGGTAGTTCCAACACAATACCATCGAGGTCTGATATCCCTGGCATTTCTCTAGCCTCAAGACGAACAATAAAGGATACTGCTGGAAAAGAAGAATCAGTGGATGATATACTAGCTAGAGCATTAAAACCTACCATCAATGTGATATTTCTCACCGGACCCCTTTGAGTTTGAATAGTCATGATGCACTCAATATTGTTTTTGCAATTTTGTATAACATTTCGACATCTTTTTACGAATTATAGAAAGCAATTGCTACCTTGATGGGCAGACTTACGTAGTGCACAAAATGTGCAAACGGATGAAAATGAGCAGAAAATGCAGAGAGAAGATGTTGATGAAACGGCGCCACAAGAACAAAATGGTGAGGAAGAAGAGAATAATATAAAGAAGAAGCAGTTGGAAATGGTGACGAGGAGTCAAATGCAGTGCAGAATCTTTCTCCTTTAAACTTCACAGTACCTGAAAACAATGATTTTGATGCATGAAGTCTAGAGGTAATAACCAATATTAATCCAAGTGAAACATTTATATAATATACTTAGTTTACTTTGTTTTCTTACATTTTCATGTCAAATTCTAATATCAGAATTAATGTTGTTTTGCCGCCCACAGGGCGGGCTACAGTTCACTTTTCTATTTCTAATATTCATATGTCTGGGTTTTACATTGTAGTTAAGGGAATCAATTCTAAAAGCGGCAGGAAAGTTGAAAACACAGATGAAACAAAGGAACATGGCCTGTTTGGTTCTAAATGGATGGCTCATCAAGCGTAGGCAAAGAATTAATGGAAGATTTGATTCGGTTATTTGAGTAACTGTTTTGACTAGTTTTTTATGTTGGTCAATTACTTGATGATTAATTAAGGTTGCTTCAGTGATTACTTTTTTATAGTCTTTGTTCACATAGCATATTATTAAAATAATTAGCAATATTATCTATAAACAGTAATGATATAATTATAATATTATATAAAATTGTAAGTTTATAATTATGATATATCATTAAATGAGTAAATATATATAATATTATGATGAATTCTTGAATAAAAAAAATCAATTATATAATGATACATTTTGATTGTATACTTACAATCTTTCATAACATTGTAATTATATTTTTTTTCTACAAAAGTAAATACAAAAACAGTTACAATCACAACATTTAAATAGCAACCCTAAATGCAACCTATCTCTAAGGTCATTGCAACTAAGGGTTTTCCTTTTTATTCAAAACTTAAGTAGTTTAATCTATAAGATGACAATGTATTTTGTGTAGTACTATCACCATGACACATCTGGTGTGTTTTTTTTATCCATCCTTGAAATATCAAGATTCATATTGAGAGAGGAATATGCTACCAAAGGGAAAAGTTTGAAGGAAAATGTTCTCACGAATCAAGTAAGCAGCAATGAGCTCTTTCTTCTTCTTTAATGAATTGTGAAAAACATATTGTTAATTAGTTTTCACAATTTTTGAGGAGTTGCAAGTCCACACAATGGCAAAAGTAGGTCAAATGTGGACCTAGATCTCAGTGCTGAACTTGAAGAAGGTAAATGGAGCAAGCTCAAAAAGAGAAGAGCAGCACTTCACACCTTTTAGCACCTCTCAAGC